AACTGTTTGTTCCTTCGCACCACAATATCCAATTCTTATGGCGGAAATCTACACTGCCGTGAATGATAACACTTGAATAGATATTCACTTGGATTACGTGATCATGTGGAAACTCACAAGTTCTCAGCATCGTCTATGTGGGTTCTTCTGGTACCCGAAGCTATCAGTACAAGAATCTGCGATAAAATAGACGTTTATGTAGCTTAATGGGGCATCGCGAAGACGAATCAAACAAGTCGATTGCTTGTAGCAGGAATTTAGAATTTCGCGGGACCTTGGTGCCATTTATAGTGAAAAAGGAAAGTATGACTGAAAATGATCCAAACGTTAACACTGTATGCGCTGAAAAGTAGTATTTTTGTTCATTTCATGACTTGTGTAATCCTCCGATGTTTTTACCCCAGTTTAACGACCTCCATTCCGTACCATTTAGATTCCATAAAATCTTTTTTCCAACATATGTGGATGTGATGATGCCCGCAAATTGGCTTTTCTCGTGTTAAATTACTAATATGAGGATAAAATATTCATTTATTATTTAACCCAAGAGCAGGTTGACAAGCCACCCAAACTGCTACACGGAAATACTGATAAATGCGGATACGGGAGGCCTATTCCAGATTAAGCGCCGGTGTGTTGCAAGGAATTCGTATCTGACCCGTTTACCCCGTCCGTCTATCGCCAATATGATTGTGTGATTTTTAGGGTCATGTTGCATTCATATCTTCAAGCGGGTGGGGAGGAACAGTGTGATAAACCATGCAGAATTTTGTAAGAGGGAAATAATTTGTTTCTAAAACGATGATTCGATAGCGGTTTAGTGGTCAGCACAAAGCACATCCCTACGTAATCGATACTGCCGGCGCTACTTGGTAATTATCCAGTCAAACTTCATTGGACATGTTCAGGTCGTGATTTGTCAACATTGTTTGTGGTGGCAAGACCAACTGATGAAGTCCCAACGTGGATCTGACAGAAACTTTAAGAGAGCAGGTTTCGCCTGTCTTGTATGGAAGCTCATCAGAAGAAAAGCTGACAGCACTCTTGCTTTAGAGAGGATGAAGAGGAGGATGCTCAGCGAAGTTAAGACTGTCAGAATATTGGACACTCAGGTCATACACATCAGTGAGTGTTTGAATTTCATAATCTCCACGTTGCAACGCTAAGATAGCTTTTTCTGAGGTAGAGGGTCCCAAATTTTTCATGGTTGAACACAAGTTGTCATTTCTCACTCCAATCAAGTAGACTGTTTAGGCCGCTCCAAGATGCCGACAAACATTCATCAGTTGCGTCTTAATGGAGGCTGTACACAATCTCCAGGTTGTCTGCACAAAGTTTTGGTTTTCCATGTCTGACCACTATACACATGCCGTTAATATACACAGAAGAAACAGAAAAGGATCAGGTTCAACCCCTCTTACTATACCACTCGCATTTGGCGAAGGATCTGAGAGGCAACTATCTAATTTAAGTGAGTGAGAACCCTCGATAAGACATGGGTCTAACCAGTTACATAAGGGGTTTACCATGCCGAATGACCCGAGTCTCTTAAGCGGTCCTTGGTGAGAGGCATCTTCAAATGCCTTCCTGGAGTCAAAAGAAAGTACGGCAACAAAAAGCCTTCGGCAGCTCCTTTCGGTGATACACCCAAGAAAGTGCAGCGTGTAGATGTCACAGGATCTGGTTTATAGAAACCCATGCTGTGAAGTTGATAATAAGTCGTCATCGGACAGGCAATCACCCTGAAAGCAACCGAAATGAGAGTATGTGGACAGTAGTCATCTAAGTGTGAGGTTGTCACGGATTTATGAGCAAAAAAATATCGGCGGATAGTATGAGCTATTAGGTGATAAGGAAACTAACTTCAGGAGCAAAAATGTCTCCACTGCCTTTTTCCGGTGAAGCCCGTCTGTAAACTGAAGTTTCAGAGTACTAGTCGAAGCATTTCGTTGCTAGTAAAGGATAGGCTGCACATAGTTTTCACTGAGATTACTATCAACCGGGTGCCGTATAGATCCAGTTACATTCGAAACAAAAATGCTTGCAAGACGGTTAAACCGCTTATGAAAGCCAATGTACTCTTTCGAAGGAAGTGGTGATTAATATTAATATACAGATTCTGAAAGAAGGAGACAAACTCCCCAGATTTTCGCAACTTGGGAAATAATATTTTATTCGGATGGCGTTTAGGTATGCATAAGAGGTAACGAGGCCAACCTGATTCGATCGGTACATACACCAAGTTTTATCTGTTTGCTTGCTTGTCATCCTGTCTTTTAACCGTAGGTGTAGTAATCAGAAACGATGAATACAGCAACAATATCTATCCGACTTTTTCAGAGCTAGTTCTTGCCTTTAGTGCTTTTCGGCCACTTGACAAGTATTAAGGCGGTTACTGCCCCCCAGCGAGCATTAATTTTATTCTTAATGGGGAAACCATGCGGCAACCTACAAACCTCCAAATTTATACTTGACCCTACGACTCACTGGAAGGTCGCTTGTAGCGCACTTGCTCTCGTGCCCAGAAACTCGCTGGAAGCCACGACTTATTCCTCAGAATGATACCAAGCTGGGTCTGTGGAAAATTTTAGCCTGAGAACTCTGCCAGCAGATTCACTTTTTCCTCTGCACACAGGCCAATAGAAGTGGTGAACAGTTGTCCGAGATAAGTTGTCCCTTCATCTGCTAAATTGTCTAATAAGTTGCCAAGAAAACAAGGTATGAGTTTGGCACAGGATCAGAAAAAACATCTTTTCATGCCGATGGGAACAGAATTTTAGCTGTGGCCATTATACCGTAATCAAATTCTCAAATGTTTGGTGAATCACAAATGACTTCTAGGTTGTTCAGCCACCCAACTTCGACATGCTCAGAAGTTGATTAGTTCACTAGAAATACAGTCGCCATGAAAACTCACGTTGGGCAGGAATAAGAGCTTTGAGTGTGAAAGTCGAACAACATAAGCGGGTGTCAGTAACCAAAACGAGAATGCAAGCAAAGGGCACCAGGTTTGGTTTAGAGAATTATAAACCAACAACTTCACTGCCACGCATGCAGAAATCATCTCAAGCGAGCAACACAAGATGCGGTTATGAATACCGCTTTTATTCTTCACCAGAAGATGCGCAACTGGCGACTTGGGCTTCGGCCAAGCCGAGACTTAGCTGGTAGTCGTAGAAGTCTCGTTAGACCGAAAAGACGATTGCAGAAGTGACTGATCCGATGAAGATGGTTAGGTAGAAATCAGCAAAACAAATGCGCTTCACCATAGTTGAGTACAACGCGGTGAGCATAAATATTTCACACACCTGAATAATCTGTAAAGATAAATAAACACGGTAGGATCATCTGGTGTGAGGAAAAGGTGGAGCGCAACTTCACGGCTTTGAGTTCGAAAAAATGCTTTCATAACTAAACTCTGTAATACCAGGAAAAAAGTCGATTAACTTGATACGAACACCATTTTTGAACTGTTCTATAAAAGTTTTTAGACCCAAATGTATACCGTGGTCATGAATGTCGAAGCATTATCTGTATTAATGCCAAGTATGTAAGCTACGGTGAACGAAGGAACCGAAGTCTTATCCAACTACCGTGGTCCCTTGAAACTAGCGAATAAATTCTAGCTACTCAGAGTGAATTGATGGTACTATCTGCATTTACCTTTAATGAATGTCGTTAGACTTTGTGAGCATACACATCAGTACAACAGGTTTGCAAGTAGCGGGAGACAAAAGTCTGGTAGGTAAATGTACGTGACAAATCAGGGAGCCTGCTTACATCACTGCAGTCTAGTTCTCCGCCATGATGTTGAAGTTTCCTTATAAGTAGACGGTAACTGCAGGCTTTCGACTCATTCAAGAGACGGTCAGACGGTTATGTCACCTCGCATGGTCTAACACGTACGTACTCAGGTAGTCACCAATCTCACTAGCCCCAACTCCCTCCTACCTACCACTCACTATCTCTCTCCTTAATATACCCACGTTACTTACCAATTCATCTGTAGGAACTAAACCCACGCTACCATTCGGGCAACTCCCAAATACTTTTCTCTCCCTTTTATTTCTCTTTTTCGCCCCTCCTTCTCTTCTCCTTTCTTCTTTCCTTCTCCTCTTCCATTATTTTCTTCTTTCTTCTTCATTCTCTTACAACCTTACTATTCCCTTTCAGGTACCTGCAGAGACAGGAGTCACGGTAGCCCCTGAACTTCCCAGCAACCTGTGGCTCTCGAATCACTCTACAAATTACAACTTACCGATCCACAAAACATCCACCTCACCGAGGCTAAAAACGAGAAAGCAGAGGGGATTTCCTCGTCCTCTGCAGGAGTGAACCGAACAACTCGAGCCAAGCCCTAAGAACTGGACACGAGAGATCAAAAACTATCAGTTTTTTACGCCCGCACTATCAATATCGGATACTGGAAACTTTTTGAAGTTCTCAAATACTTTTTCGACTTGAGAAGTATCAACGAAAGTGGAAAATGGCAATAACTTTTCAACGCACTCCATATTGAATATAAGAAATTATGTACAGACTGTTTTATTACGTTACTTTGAAATGACAAGTAAAATCCACAAGAACTAGGGGCGAGTGCAAAGAAATGAATTGGTTTACACCAGCTTGTGAAAAGATATTGGATATTGGATATTGTGGCTAGATGAAAAAAGTAACTATGGTAACGAGCAGGAATCAAATTTGAGAGAAAAAAATCAGAGATCATTGGACTTAGCCATCACATTTGCTGACACTTCTTCATTTAAAAATAGATATGAATTTTAAATTCCCAATGAGTTGTTATTTGTAATTTGGGTTAAGACTGTTAACAGAAATGGTTTCACTACTACTAACCTGCAATCAGTAAAAATGTTAGAACTAGGAGCCAATTCTCATCTCAGCACAGCTTTGCCACTAGAAACCTTGCAGAATTTATAAAGGTTAGATATGATCAACTAGGTTCTGTTTTCCTTAGACAAGGAGCTGAAAAAGACAACAATATGTTTAAACTGCCTTCTTTCGATAACGATCAAAGGGAAGCAATAGAGAGAGCTAAAACGTTTACTGTCAAACAGAGCATTAAAAAAGCTTTGGAAAAGCAGTCACTGCGAAGATATCTTCAATCTGGTTATAATGCAAGACGTTCTCAAACACTTGATCTTTTGAATCGTATATATGTGGGTTCCATTTGTTATGATTTAAGAGAAGATGCAGTTCCACAAGTGTTCTCTCTATTTGGAATTGTTCCATCTGTCAACCTCCGCTGGGACTCTCTCAGTCAGAAACACAGAGGATTCGCTTTTTTAGAGTTTGAGTATCCAGAAGCAGCATTCTCAGCGCTACAAAATATGAATAATGTTTGTTTAAGAGGTCGTCAGCTGTAAGTTGGCCGACCTAGTAATTTGCTTAATGCAGACGCTTTAATTCAAGAACTTATAGCGGAACATCGTCTTGAGAAGAAAATATTTCTCTCAGGAGTTCACACAGACTTAAATGAAGATCATCTGTCCATTCTATTTGAAGCATTCGGAAAGATATCTTCCTGCAAGTATGCTTAAGATGGCACTAAATTCCATACGAAAGGCTTAATGCTGATCCTACTAAATCACAGAAGCACCTAGGATTTTTAGGATTTGTCCTGGTGCGAACTTCACAGACGCATAGACCAATCACTAATTTTTCTGACTTGTTATATACCCACGAGTACGAGACTAAGGAAGAACAGGATAGCACAGTCGGATGGAATAGTATATTTGGATGGTTGTGCCAAAATACCGATGCGTTCCAACTAACTGGCTAGAGTCGAATACGAGCAGTGCAACGTAACACGACAGCGTGCCAAATGGCGAGGATGCTTGACCGGGTGCCTTCAGCTTAGCTAGTCCAGTTAAACTATCAAGGTCAGCATCAATGTTGAATGTCGTCAAACCCTAGGCTATTGACTTTGGGGGAGTGTGTGACGCTACAGATTCGGGTTTATGAAGTACGAGTCATTACAGTCAGATTTTGATGCTGTTGCAAATATGAATATGTTTGTCCTTGGAGGGCAGTATTTACGGGTATGCAAGGCGATCTCTTCTTCCGAAGATAACAATCAGACATGAAAGACACCTACAGCTGCCACAGTTACAGAGAAACTTTTGGCGATGGAGGCAAGAAACACTGGAAACGTAGCAGTAAGTAATTACTGACAGAGATTATTTCCAATCTGCCTAATGGTGTTAATCCAACTAGTAATTTTACACTTAATTTTAGGCATGGATAAGTTTTTTGTTAATAGCCTAAAAATCATAAAGCTGAAATAACCTTAGAATATCCCTAGCATCACGTACAAACATGTTTATTGAAATTTAAAGTACATTTGCTATTTTACACTAAACAATATTGCCAAACTGTTTAAACTGGTGAAAGTAAGTGGAAATTTGAAACTATGATCCCATAAATTGCGTTCAGGTACTTATATTACTATCATATGTGTACGGCAGTATGCATAAACACAAGCAGACTGTTTCACTAATACACCTTGAAGAAGCTTTATTCTCGAATGGTACAGAAACGTTGCACACAGCACTTATAGTTAAGACTTTCAAAATTATTGGTAAAAAGTAGTGTTGAAAAGTAGAACGGTTTTGTTTCAATGTACTCCTGAGATGTAAATGATCCAACTACATTCACTGGAACTTGGTATGAAACATTCTACTATATTTCTGCTTTTAGCAAACTTTGAAATGCTAGATTCAACGTCTGATACGATCAAATGATTTTTAGATTTTTTGTTTGTTTTATGGAATACATTATCAATTCGTCGTACTTTGTTTCAGATATCTAATACAAGATCATTAGTAAAGGTGAACACAAGTGAGTTTATCAGTTTAAATCGAACCTAATGATATGACTAAGTTTGGACTCGTCACAACATACTGGAAAATGTTAACCTTTTTCAGCAAATTTTATCCACGTGTTATTCAGTAACAGTGTTCACTTAAAGCTTGCTTTGATATTATGTGACTTTGTCTCATAATTTTAAGTTGAATTAGGATGCTTTTAAAGCTAAGAAGTGAAATACTACTTATCCTAACTACTGACCTTAATTTCTGGATACCTAAGAGTTTGTTTTTATTTCCTTTCTTCTTAGTAGCTTAAAAAAGTCCTATACCCTAATAAATTTATTTTGTTTGATTTACTCAGCTATAAACTGTAAGAATCATCTGGCACTTAACATTAGAGATTAGATTAGTAAATTGTTTGTATGTAATGCATGCTTTTTAGTTTAAAGAAAGATGCCCTCTTGCCATTTCTCTGTTCTTGTTCACCTTAAAATTAGGTAGAATGCATGACGTGACTGAAGCTCAAAAGCCCAAAGTTTTCAGATCTGAAGAAAACGAAGAAATCACACTAGAGCATTAAGAAGATTTGTTTACCAGGGGAAAATAGCCTCGTAAAATGATTATGCAAAAGCTATCTCGTGTCCTGCAAACGTAAGTGTATTTAAACTGAAGAAATCTTCACCATTGGCATGTCTGTATTACTTAAAACAAAAGTAAATCATTACTAGTCAATGATATACTCTTTATTCTCCGTTGTTTTGTTGGATTGAATTGTTTGACTTCTATTGGCATATGGGCTCCCATGCATATGCCTCGATATTGCCTGAATGTTAATCATGATAATTTGGTTGGTTGTGGCTAGCAGAAGAATCCACAACTAACCAAGTTATCAGAAGTAAGTCTTGTTTAGCAGAATAGTGTTGACTTACTTGTTACAAGATCCTGAAAGTAATGATACAGAAAGTTTTTCTCTCCAGTTATTTTGTCGATTCTGGCGTATTAAGACAGAATTACCTATATCACTTGTCGAACAACGCTTTACTTTTTTCTTATTCAGTTGTCTTTTTCTAAGCTCTTGTTAGTATTCTTATCTTTATAATTGTAAGCTTATTGTTTATGGCTAAGTTAGGCACAGAAGTCAGTGTTTTTAATGTCACTATAGGTCATTTTACCGGAATAATAGGTGGTCATGCCTCAAAATTCCTACGCCATAAAACTGCCAAATTCCTTCTATAGACTTCAGGATCAAAGTTTGACCTGATAGAGTTGAATAAGTTGAACCCTGAGTAAATGGATTATAAAATCCCAATGAGGTAGAAAAATAAATTTTTGACGTTTAGTGACTCCGTGGAAATCACTTCTTCAGAGAATAAAAACCTGTGGAAGTTGGCAAACGTTTAAACAATAAATGATGACAAATCAGACCACGTTGTTCATACATGATAATAATATGTGCATAAATGTCACTGTTATCCGTTATTGGTCTGGGATCAAGATACAGATGTCAATGTGTAACATGTGATTGGGTGTCTTAGCAGAAGAAAAGTACTATGGATGACTACTTTGGTTTATTTGTGTATATGTACTTTTGTCATGATTATTGTGTGTGAAGTTATTTTTGGATGTACTATCCAGGTCGGTTGTACAGATAGGCCTTGTTTTCTGCTGACTGCATTAGGCAACATACTGTGGAATATCTCAAGTCTCATCCTTCATTGTGATATGGAATTGAAATTTTTGCAAATTTCACAGTTGAAATTTATCGCTGATTTTCACAGAATAAGTTAAAATTATTAGTTAAGCAAGTTATTCCCTTTGTAAGGCGTTTCAATTTATGTTACCAGACGTTTCCCTTTTGCAATATTTCCCTCAAAGCAGACATAATTTTGAGATACCTAACTTTCCAAATTGAAAAGTATTGTCCTTTGGGTGAGCAGTCCCTCTAGTGTCGATAACCTGGAAACAGCCTAACTATGTGTGCAATACAGTAGTTGATTTCATGTCCGAAGCAGTATATTTGACCGGTTTATAACACCACAAGATTTATATATTTATAACAGGCATTCCACAGAAACTATTAGCCGGCTATTTACCTACTGTCCTTAAGCGTATAAAGCTTAAAAGTGACCAGTACACAATAACTTACAAACGTGAATAAAAATAATTATGGTGGATAATATACTTCCAAAAGAATGTATAAGTAACAGTTGGCTATACGTGATTTATGACTGAAATGATCAGTACCTAGTCAAACAAAATGGATTTGAGTTTAGCTGAGGCATCTTGATTATACTTAAACACAACACTCTAAGCATTACCGATATTTAACCTTCACGAAGTTCTGAAACTGGTTACTGGTTACAAAAATGTTTCGTACAAGTGTACTTTTAGAGAGCACCATCAGAATTAACGTGTTTATAACTTTTATAACTATCAATTGTTGGATATAATTTCGTGTGGAAAATACTACAACTTGGACTTAATGAAACCAAACTTGTATTTGATACAGGTAAGTTTCACTTAACCCCTCAAAAAATTAAATTTAATATGCCAACAAAAGTTGACCTTTCGTTGAAAGCGAAAAGAGTTTCGATCCCAATTAGTTGATTGAATAGTTAATCTACCTAGTTCTCATTCAGTTAGAAACTGAATTTTTAAAAATTATGAATGAATTTTAACGTGATTAGATTTCCTCACTGACATTTACATATTTAACAAAAAATGTTTTAAATTTTTGAAAAATTACAACTTTAGTGTAGTGCTATTAAGAAATATGGTTGAATCAAGAGAGTATGATAAAAATTTAGAACTGAAAGTAATGAAAGAATGTTCCACTTATGGTTCAGTAGAAAAAGTTTCGATCAGTGAAGAAAGAAACAAGAATGAAGAATCCTCTGTGAAGATATTTGTTGTGTTCAGTGATTTAGAGTCAACAAATAGAGCAATTACAGCACTGAATGGACGTTATTTCGTTGGTCATAGACTTGATGCAGAACTATATGATATTGACAAATTTATAAGCGATGATTTAATGGGATAAATATTTTGTTTATTATGTATCTCTTTTTTTTCAGTCTGTTTTATATGTTCACATACAGATATTCTGTATATCAAAAAAATATCTACTGAGGCTGCATGTTGCATCTTTATTTCTATGCTAATGGATTAAATATTTCATGAAGAAAAAGAATTATATGATAAATTTAAAAATTACCTTGATTGTATATATATATTTGAGATCAATTTTGTATTCTTCATACCATTTCGCTAAGATTCTAAACAGTTTACCATCAATGTGTCTGGTAACACTGTTGTTATATTCTTTTCGTTAAAGAAAATTATTTACTGTATTTATTTGTTTTTGATGAAGATAAAATTTATTTTTTATTTATTTGGAAGAAAACAGCTACAGAGTTCATTACTAACTACTTAGTTTCTTGAAATAGACATTTTGTGTAATCACTAAAGTATGTTTTTTGTTGTTGGGAGAGTAGATCACTTTCAAAAACTGTCAGTAATGTACGTGGTTATAAAAATGATAATACAACTGCAGTAAGCAAGATATACTTATGTCTAATAAAAAACTTGGACAGTTATTCAGCTGGTTTAACTGGCTAGTTTTTCGAAATCATTTTATGAACAATAGTAGAATATACCTATGAAATAATAAACAGTTTAAGTAAATAAGATTGAACACATTTAACTTAGTCTTAATTATGACAGTTGTTTAACAGAATCAAGTTGTTATCGCTTTTGGGATTCCAATACAATATTGAGTACATCAAAATTACTATGTAATCCACGTTTTTCTAGTTGTCTGAATAACTTTGAACAACAGTGATACTTCATTTTTATTTCTATAGAGATTTTTTTCTGAACAAGATTGAATAAAATGAAATTTCGCATACTTCCTTGCAAAAATGCAAACGAGTTGTACATCTAAGGTTTGTTACAGAAAGTTACTACAAAAGTGGAAAAAATATGTAATATTCGAACATTTAGGAGAGGCCTCTTCAGATGCGTTCTGAACAGTCAACCCTTATGACTCAGATCAGTTACTAAGAACTGACTCACTGTCATTGACGAAGCTTGATTATGTGAGTCAACCTTGTCCGTATGACGTGTGTTGATGGCGTTACTTCAGTATACTTTCAAAAAAAGATGGTTTATATATCTCCTAATATTTTCTTTGAATTTAGTCGATCATTAATATTCATTTCAGAGTCTCATAATCCCAATGCTCATTTTCATCTTTAAATTAACAAGAATAAAGTTTGAGAGGGGACACCTACTGGAGATAGCCTAGCTCGAAGATAACACGGAAAGTTTAGTAAAAGACATGAATAACATAGCCAATCAACAATAAGTTAAACTATTAAAATTCCTCATCTTCACAATATTTCGTGAACTGCTGGAGGATTATAAGAATGTTTCAGTTTAAACACAGAACAAGAAAGAGTTGAAGGAACTTTGAAGAATGGATGCCAGTAATTAATTACTGGTATTCATTTAACGTTTACTTTACCAGTACCATGGAAGCCGGGAAAGCATCAGAACCAGATAGAATTCCATCAGAAGCACTGAAAACAGACACAGAGATAACAACGGACATGGTCACACCACTGTCACAGAAGGTTTGGAAGGAGAGTTATCTACAGATTGGAAAACCGGCTACCTTGTCGAACTCTCAAACAAGGGCGAACTATGTCTTCGCAAGAATTTGCGCGGAATCATCCTCCTGTCCACTCCAAGCAAAATATCAAGCCGCATCATCCTAAAAAGACTAAAAAAGCTCTGTATTCAAAATTACGATCGAAACAGGCTGGCTGGCTTCAGGAAGAACAAACAATGTGCGGATCGAATTGCAACGCTACGCTACGCATCATCATAGAACGGAGCATAGAATGGCATTCAACTCTCTACCTTACGTCAACTTCATCAATTTTGAAAAGGCCTTTGACAGCGTTGACCGAGAAGTAATTTGACAACTGATTCAACACTACGCTTTTAGGGCCACAAACCCTTAACAATCATACTCAACAGCTAAATGACGACGCCACATGCCAAGCGATTCACGATGGAAAGACCAGTGATGCCTTTGGAGTTTGGACAGGAGTAAGACAAGGTTGCCGCCCACCATCACTGATCATCTTCTTGATTGTGGTCGACTGGACTGAATTGGGTAATGCAAGAAACTGTGAGAAGATGGGCATACGCTAGTTGATGGATGAAAAGAGCCTAGAATATTTGGATTTCATCGACGATGATTTACGTCTTATGTCTTGTTACACAAACTCAAAGATGTACAGCAGAAAATCAACAGGTTGGCAGAGAAGATAGGACTGACTTCAGGTGAACGTAGAGAAGACAGAAACCTAACCAACAACAACAAGCACCATCAACAGGAGAAATCTGAAGGAATTTGTCTCTTTCACCCACCTACCTAGACAACATCGTCTCAACTACAGGCGGCGCAGGCACAGATGAAGATGTCAAAGCCAGTATCGGAAAGACAGAGAAACAGGCCTTCATTAGTCGGAAATCAGTGTGAAAATCTGCTGCACTGCACTCAGCATAAAGCGTTAACAAGATCCGGATTCTCAATACTAATACCAGTCAAGTCAGAACTTCTATGTGATGAGACTTGGCGGGTTACGAAAAGAATTTCCAACAAACTGCAGACATATATCACATCAACAGCTGCCACCTACACTCACTCGATACTGAAAATCGGATCAGATGGTCAGAATAATAAGAATAAGCAACAAGGAACTCTGGCCTGCCAACAAACCAACCGACCAATGACCCATCGCACAACAAATATGCAGTAGAGGAAAGTGGAGATGTATTGGATTGGACATACACTGAGAAGACCGTTTGGGGATATCACGTGCCAGGCCAAGCCCTCAAGCCGAATCCAAATGGGAAACGATGAGTTGGCCGTCGGAGGGTGACATGGATGAGATGATTTGAGGAAGAAATGAAAGGTTGTGGGGAATCGTGGAGCCAGGTTAAGAGGACTGGAGGGAAGAGAATGAAATGGCAACGTGCTACTGAAGCCTTATATTCCACTACGAACCCAAGGGATAAATGATAAATCATAATTATCTTTATTAAATCACTTAGATTTACTTTTATTTGATGTTTACTGAAAACAAAATAACCTTGAAATCAGTTTACTTATGTGAATAGCCAGTGCTCTGAAAATATTGTATTCCCGAACTAATAGAGAAAGTCTAGATAAACTGTAAGAAAGTGTTTCACATTAACAAATGCCGGTTTTTTGAAAACTTGTTTACTGAATACCATTTTGCTACACATCTTAGTAAGTAGCAGACATCTGAAATGATTAATACAGAGCTTATAAAGAATTTTATGTAAGCCTTTTGATGAAGAACATTGTCCATAAACGGTGTGTGATGCATTTCACACGAAATAGATCATCTCATTGATGTACTAAAGGAATACATTCAATTCTACGTAGTGACCTATATGAATACAAAAGGTTTAATGAAATTTCACTGATTCGTTTTTCACTTATGATACAGACAAGGTTTCCTAAAGTCTAGTTGATACACAGTGTACTACTCAGTAGTGCTGATTGCACTTATATATGGCCAATAATTTGTTGAGGTCACGTGTACTCAATCCTCTGGACGGTATTCATCCATATGTTTAAGCGGTTGAGTAGGAAATGAAAGTGAGCTTAAAATATTGAATAAAGGAATAATTCTATTGGTTAGATCCCTAATCTTCACTAAATAAGGCGGTTAGAATATTCATTATGCTCGTATCCTCAACTTCTTCAATCAATAATGTTAGTGAGGTGAGAGTTCTACTAAAGAAACCACACAGTGGTTAAAATTAGATGTGCTGCAAAATCATATGATCTTTCATTATTATTTTAAACAAAAAAGATAAATGAAAGCTTTGTGTCTTAGATGCGTCAAACAAATGAAATCGGTTCTCGGAAATTATCAGCGATGCAGCCTAGAATTCATTGTGCTTGTACAGATGCCTACAGATGTAATCTTTACTTATATTGTGAAAATCTTACAACTATTATTTGTCCTTATTACATGTTTTTTTGATTTTACTTCATATTTTTCCAAACAACTCCCTATGTCATCATTTTGACTCCATTTTCTTTCTGTTTTGTTGAATTCTATTACTGTAAATTATGATGACGTGAACAGATGTGTCGTTAAAGGTGTTTCAATTTCTTATTTCCCTTTGTATCCTTTTTCTAAGCAGCTAACCAATGTTAAAGTTATACTTTTCAAAGTGAAAAATTACTAGAGTATCATGAAACGGACAAGATTTTCTTAGCTACTATCGTGATTTCACGATTAAACAACCCAGCTCAGAGAACACAATACAACCAAGGTATTAAAATGTATAAAAGTAGTATCCATTGGCAGAAGTGATAGAAGCCTCTTTGTACGTTCATTTTTAGCAAATAACGTTCACAAATAGCTGAAAATCTGAAAGAATCAAAGTTTTGAGTGCGTTTTTGTGTGATAAAATTTCGCAAGTAACTTACTAGTTGATCTACTGTTTTTAAGGGTATATAAGAGAAATATCCTAATGACGATTCGTTGCTACCTTATATAAGCCAGGATTTTCTAACTTTACGTCTAACCAGAATGTAAGTAGAGAAGATTATATCACTATTAGGCTCTATCAAGATATTATTTGGAATATAACAGTGAGTTTCTGATGTGGGCTTGTACACACAGACATTAGATCATGTTACGGTCCAATCAGTTCAAGAAATTCAGAAAACTCTACAATGCTATTGTCCCAATGTCAATGATACCATGATACATCTATGATGTCTTCCATTTAACAGCTAACGTTTTACTTGAACACTCTGTCTCATTAAGCTGTAGCTAAAAGACTACCATTGTATTTTTTGTGGTTCTTCAAAATTGTTTGATATATATTTCATTTCACCACAATGGCACTTCACAAAAGCGGTGGGTGTAAGCACAAATAATTAAGTCTTATTCTTTTTTATGGTAAAGTCAACCAATTTTG